TTTATTTATTGGACTTATATACCGCCCCATAGCGCTACAAGCACTCTCCGGGCGGTTTACAATTTTTAATTATACAGGCTACACATTGCCCCCCCAGCAAGCTGGGTACTCATTTTACCGACCTCGGAAGGATGGAAGGCTGAGTCAACCTTGAGCCGGCTACCTGGGATTTGAACCCCAGGTCGTGAGCACAGTTTTTAGCTGCAGTACAGCGTTTTAACCACTGTGCCACGAGGGTCAGATAAGCAATAGCCTCACAAAAACTCAGTCTCTTCTGCCAGGGGGGAGTTCTGGGAGTTACAGTATACTGTAGTCTAAAAGAAGTGAGATTTCCAAGCTATGGCCACTCCTGAACTGATGTTCATGTGCACTCACCTAAAGGTATGAACAGGGTGTTTTGTGGTTCTCATGCTAAGCAAGCCAGAGGCTTCAGTGGGGATGACTATTATGCACACAATCTTTGGGGAAGAAATGGCCACAACTTTATTGTTTATAGCAGCAGTATTCCTGGCACTGCACTGGGAATGGATCCAGAGGATTGAGAGACCTGAGTATCAAGCCCAATGCAGCCACTACCATTGGACCAGGAATGATGCTCCAGTGGACATCTGATCTGTTGATCGTACAAATAAAATTGAATTGATGCTCGAGTGGAATACATGAACATAGAACACTCTGTGGCATCCAGTTCCTGAGTGACTGTCTCTTTGCCCCAGGTCCCTTAGGAAGATCCCCACAAACACTGGGAGGGAGGTCCTCAACAGGACAAAGCAGAAGCTTCTTAGGATTGATCTGCAGAGAAAGAAAGAAGGAACAAAAGGGGGGAAATAATGGATCAACTAAGGAGCAAACAATGTGTCATACAGTAGATCTAGGGCTTGTATACACAGTTTTGTTTTAGTTTTTTGTTTTTGGAGCGGGCTGGTGTAGGGTAAATAGGGTCACTTGAGAGTTGATAGAGATGTAATATGCCATTTAGTGTAGTCCGCACATCCAAAAAACTTATGGGAATTCAAGCTCCTTTTGTTCTAGCGACTCCCACTGGGGATTTACAATATCCTGAAGTGGCTTAAGAAGAGAGCCACTTCTGGATATTGGCCAAATATACACTTCCTCTGCTCCTTGGTTGAAGGGAAGAGGAAGTGGGGGGGAATAGATTCCATTAGGATGGTGAAAATGTGCTGCATCACTTATTAAAAAGTGTTTAAAAACTTTTTCTTTGCCTTATCTTAAAGGTCCTGTCAAGAAACTTTCCACAGCCAAATCCATGGCCTGTTTGGTTTCTGGATATTGGCCAAATATACACTTCCTCTGCTCCTTGGTTGAAGGGAAGAGGAAGTGGGGGGGAATAGATTCCATTAGGATGGTGAAAATGTGCTGTATCACTTATTAAAAAGTTTTTTTAAAACTTTTTCTTTGCCTTGTCTTAAAGGTCCTGTCAAGAAACTTTCCGCAGCCAAATCCATGGCCTGTTTGGTTGTAGATGCTTGAGTGGCCCTTTAAGGCAATGCAAAGAAAATATATTGTAAACAACATTTATAAGTGACGCAGTACATTTTCACAGCCCTATTAGAATCTAATTTCCCCCCACCTTTTCTGCCCCTTCACTGAAGAACAGAGCAAGTTTAATTTCTCAATATCCTGAAGTGGCTTTCTTCTTAAGGCTCCTCACAATATTGACAAATCAAAAGAGGAAGCCTTTTTATTCATTCCCATGAATCACACACACTGGAAATGAACCAAAGGAGACAAATAAACAACGTGCACACACACAAAAGAAGAAGTCCATAACAGGGGCCCAGAAAGGTATGGAGAGTACTGCTCTGGGGGCAGGCTGGTTTGCTCCAGCAAAGATTACATCTGATATTTGAGGAGCAAAGTAGTTTGGTCCACGAAGTGATGTGGATCCA